TGTTTTGTATAATAGTCTCTAAATGAACCAATTCGTAAGTGCCTGTAGGTATAATTACGTTTTCATTTTCATTTAGAATATCACGAAACCCGATAGTATTACACCCAGGTTCGATGTTTGGTATCGAATTATTTGTCTGTAAGCTCAAAAGACATATTTGTGCTGTGCTTCCTACTTCCAACGGTGGAAAAATGTCACATGACAATTCACTCGAGTTCCCGTTCAATGTTATCGTGTACATGATAAAAATTTTAAGCACAAGTGCCCACAGTTTGTAGTATTATATTTCTGTTCTCTGCTATAATTGAAATTGATGTTACACCCGTGAAAATATTTTTGTACTTCTAATGGAGGTGGTAGATTTCCAAAACTGTCATAATATTGAACTTGATTTCCTATTTTTTTGTACGCTACCCAGTGAGTACCTGTACCGTGTTCAGAGTCCAAGTTAACAATCGCTGATTCTATTCGTTTACGACGTACGGGTAACCTGTCTCTAGTAAATACACCGATGAAATGAGGTATTTTCATTAAACGAGCGATTTTTATAAGTTCGTAATCGTACAGTGCTCTTCTGGGTAACGTAGATATTAGTTTTTTTTCGGTTTTGAACCCCCACCACTTTTAAATGGTGTAGCAGCAGACCCGATTTTGTACGAGTTGCCTTTATACGGTGTGAGATATAACCCTCCACCTAAATGCGATGGCGTGCTCCTTTTAAATTCATTAGCCAACTTACAACGTTGGCAACACCACCAGTCAGTGCTCCAAGTGCTGACAAACCGGCAAAAATCGGTATGAGCGGCAACACCCCACCCTTTTTTGGAATTGATATAATCCTTGGAACTTTAGTTTTTCTTTTTTTGAATGTTTTTCGTGCGACGGTTAGACATTTTTTACTTAACTTCATCAGGTTCTTTTCACCGATATTTTTCTTTAAAGCGTTTTTAGCTGCTTTGATGGCTGCTTTAAACCCACATCCAGCCCCGATTTTACGTTTTGCTTTCATGGCGGTTGTCACGCCCCAAGCTACAGCTTTTTCTTTTAAATTTGAATCTTTAGCCTTAAACCTATCCCAGGCTCGCTGCTCTAATATATAATCGGCTTTGCTACGATCTGCGAAAGAATTACTATTTTCATACGCAATGTCGTGGTCTCTACAAGCAGAATCCAGAAGGTTTATACCTTTGTCACCATGAGCTATCCGTTTTTTTAAATTTGTACCAGGACCACAATATTGATAACCTAAACAGAGAAATATTATTATTATTATTACTAATATACGCATATTATTATGATCTCACCAGGTACGTGAAGTTCGATTGGTAATTTGTTTATAAGCGTGTTGATAAGACCAGCGCCTTTATTGTTGTTCCTTCTTCGAGCGAGTGACATCGTGTACTGATCAAGTTCACAGTATTACAGAGATATTTATTTAAAAATGAAATTCCTTAAACAAGATATACAACTCACAGTTGAAAACGTGGACCCACCTACTTCGTATAAAAAACAAAGACATGGGGTGCTCCTACCTAATACGATAAGATCACTTATCGTGGGACCTTCAGGTTGTGGGAAAACTAATTTAATATACACATTACTAACACACATAAACGGTATACGATTTCACAACGTTTACATATATTCAAAAACATTGGATCAACCAAAGTATAAATTATTGAGTGATATTTTATCAGACATTGCTGGAATACAATTATTCACGTTCTACGAAAACGAACATGTTATTGAACCTGAAAAAGCTTTACCAAACTCTGTGTTTATTTTCGACGATATTATTACTGAAAACCAAAAGATTGCAAGAACTTACTTTTCCAGAGGTCGGCATAATTTAATAGATGTTTTCTATTTAGCTCAGAGTTATTCAAAAGTACCTAAGCAACTTTTGCGCGACAACGCTAATTTTATTGTACTGTTTAAACAAGACGAGACAAATTTAAAACATGTTTACATGGAACATTGCTCTGGTGATATGTCATATCCAGAGTTTAAAGATTTTTGTACTTCATGCTGGCGTAAAGGGAGATTTGAGTTTATCGTCATAAACAAAGACAGTGAACGCGACAATGGGCGATATCGTCACGGATTCGATACGTTCGTCGTTATATAAACTAATGTTTTTACTGAAAACACTTCATTCGCAAATATGTCGTCTAACAACGAAGTACTCGGAGAATTAATCAAAGCCAAAGAAAATATTAAACGCAAGTATACTGCATTAAAACACGGAAAAGCTGATATTCATTCAATAGTAACAGAAACATTAAAACCAATTATCAATCCATTAAACGAGATTCAAAAGTCGACATCGCAACCTCAGGAGATAACTGTTCAAAATATCGAAAAAAATAATACAGAAAATTCCAGAGTTTTTAAAATAAACGAGTTGTTGGATTCGTACAGCATAGACAAAACATATGGTCCAAAATTGCAATCAAACGGAGACGCATATTTGGGTAAAAAAGAAATTAAACTTAACGGAAATACATTAATTATTGAAGATACATCATACCCGTTGACACAAGGACTTGTTAGTCTAATAATTTCGAAAACTCCGAAAATCTATACCGCAGACGATCTAAACACATATAAACGCATATTAATCCAAACATCGGCACATTTGACATCAGACGAGAAAAAAATTAAAAAAGGTGGAAATAAATTCATCGACATAATCAAACCATTGTTCCCGTCTGGTAGTGGGTTATCTGTGAAATTACAAAATAAAAGTTTAGTATACTGGAATGATCCTAATGAGTTAGTCGAACGTTTACGACTACTTTTAGCTTCTCAAGCTGCTGGTAATACAGGGCTTTCCAACGAAATACTTTCAATTTACGAAGAATTGTATGAAGCGGGTTTGATAAAACGAATTCCAAATGTCTAAACGTGATATCGCTCTCGAACTACACAAACCAGCAAGAAAAAATTATACGAGGCGTAGAGTTAATGTTTATGGTAAAAACGATCTATGGCAGACCGACTTAGTCGAAATGATCCCATACTCGAAAAAAAATAAAGGTTATAAATATATTTTATGCGTCATGGATTGTTTTACAAAATTTGCTTGGGCGACACCATTAAAGTCTAAAAGTGCTAAAGAAGTTTCGAATGCAATGTCTAAAATACTGCATAAACGCGCACCAAAACTATTGCAGCTCGATAATGGTAAAGAATTTTACAATACAACATTCAACGCGTTAATGAATAAACATAATATACACAAATATTCTACATATAGTGCAACGAAAGCATGCATTATCGAACGTTTCAACCGCACATTGAAAGAAAAAATGTTTAGAGAGTTTACTGCACAAGGATCACACGAATGGGTTTCTATTTTACCTTCATTGATTAACGAATACAATAATTCAAAACATAGAACAATAGGTATGACACCTATACAAGCTGATGCAAATCCTTCTTCAGTGAAAATAAAGCAACGTCAAATTATTAATGGAAAAATTAAATTTAACATTGGTGATAATGTTCGTATAAGTACATATAAAGGGGTATTTACAAAAGGATATTTACCAAGGTGGTCTACAGAAATATTTAAAGTTATCAAAATAAATAAAACTTCCCCCACTACTTATCAACTACAAGATTATACTGGAAAACCTATTGCAGGCTGTTTCTACTCTGAGGAAATTCAAAAAACCAATCACCCAAACGATTATTTAATTGAAAAAATTATACGTAAGAAGGGTGATCAAATGTTTGTAAAATGGTTAGGGTTTGATAATACACACAATAGTTGGATAAATATGCGTGACGTTAAAAAATAGCGTCAGTCGAGCTACAGACATGAACGTGTTCGGTAGTTCTCAGTCTAGTGAAACTAATAAATTTTTAGTAAATCTCGAACAAATTGTTAAATCGTTTTCGTCTAAATTAGATAAAATCGAACATTTTCTTGAAGAAAATCGAAAATCCGTTAATATACAACAAGAACAAACTGAAACGCTTCAATTAATAATAATAGATTACATAAAAAAATCTGAAGCATCATTACAATATATCAAAGAAAATACAGACACGTTGAAAAATAAACCATAATGTCTTCGGCCATCTTGGACATGCAATGCGTCCTTGGAATGAACAATAAATACATGATTAAAGAAATGTCTATTGTAGACACAGAAACATGGGCGACCCAACATTGGATTTTTAAAAATTCAAAACTAAAGCAAGACAACAAGAGTCGTAAAACCAACAAGTGGCTGGAACGTAACTATCATCAACTATCCTTGGATTATGGTGATATCGAGTATGAAGAACTAAGTAGAATATTGAATTCATTAAAGTTCGGATGCATATACGTCAAGGGCGATCAGAAAAAACAAGTTCTCATGGAGTTAATACCACACGTCGCACTCATCAACATTGAAGATTTAGGCTGCCCTCGTTTGGAACAAATATGCGATGACGAAACTCTACCTTGTTGTATTTTTCATATGGAATTTAATCCTAAACAATGTACATTTTATAAAGTTTTTGCTATAAGAAAATGGTTTATAAAGAATTCTTAAAAATAAAACATGATAATATTTTAACATTGTTTTTTTTTTTTTTTTATTTTATTTTACATTGGTAACCTTTATAGATTAAAAATATATATAGATTACAAAATATACATGGTATTTACAAAATATATATACATGATATGTATAAATTAAAAATATAACAAAATATATATGGTATTTACAAAATATATACATGATATGTATAAATTAAAAATATAACAAAATATATATATATGGTATTTACAAAATATATACATGATATTTATAAATTAAAAATATGAGAAAATATAGCAAAATATATATGTATGTATGTATATAAATATGGTATTTACAAAATATATGGTATTTACAAATTAAATATACATGGTATTTATAATTATTTCAATATTGTACGTGTTGTAATAGAAATATATCTCAAGAGTAATATTTACAATATATCACAAAACTATATACAGGTTAGGTTATGCAATGTAGAAGGTCTCTCATTAAGCCTTTCTCTTCCTCCTTCCAGTTATGTCCTTCTTCATCTAATTCAGGCCAATCATCCTCGGGTTCATCTTCACTATAAAATTATAAATATTAATATTAATTTATTTTAAATTTATTTTAAATTTACTTTAGAGAGTAATGTCCGTGAGCCAAGGTATGGATTTTATCTTCTAGGATAACTCTTTTATCATCAAAGTTATTAAACGTTAATTTGTTTGATTTTATTGTCATCAGTTGATGTTTGAAAGAGCGGATGGATACATTTTCTCTCTTAACATCCATCTCCTCTTCACCAAACAAACACTTTTTATGATCGTTAAATGTCATATGATTCTTTACAACATGCCTTCTAATTCCCTTGGCCCTGATCTTTTCCCTACCATCCAAAATGTAAGCATATGACTTTGCTCGCAGCGCGCAAAACTCTGTCATTACGAGCCCATCCGTTTCATCGGAAAACAGACCCGGTATTTTTTTTCTCTCCGAAATAAAACATTGATGGTCTTCCGGTAGGTTGGAAGTATCCATTCGGTTGAATAAGTTGTTATTATTCTTGAGGTCTTCGTAGAAATCATCGGTTTGGATATAATATACCAATGAATCTATAAATTATGAAAATTATTATTATGTATATATCGAACTAATAATAAATAATAAATAAAAATAATACCTGTATCTGTATACATGAGCTCGATTTTATCCCCATAGTGTTTTTGCATCACATTATAATGATAATCATATATTAAACTCTTGCTTATGTCAAGAACCGCAAGACCTATGTACATTAAAAATCTCAATAATACCTTCATATATATATATATATATTATTAATAGGAAAATTACCAATATAAATAGGTTTGCAAAAATTGATGATCTTATTTTCCAATGTTACGGCATTTAGGTTTTCAGAATACGTAGTGCAGTATTTAAATGTCGATTTGTTTATAAATTTCTGTAAACGCCTGTCACACGAAACAAGTTTCATTTCCATACGTTTACGAACATTTTCCATGGTTTTTCCTGCATGAAAATCATATGATAAAGACAATAATTAAAAGAATCATAATTATTTTTTTTTACCGAATACAGCGTTGTTTAGTAATTTAAAGAAATCCTTCTCAAATTCATTCTTTGCCTTTTTTCGCATCTCGGTATTCAAAGCAATGTATGGTGCGAGCCATGGTGATTGTTTAAATTGAACAACTCTATGCACCTATAACATAAATGTTAGTAATTCTATGATAAAATATCATTATATAATATTCACCTTTTCAACTATGAGACCATTGTTCAAGGCTTGCTGGAGGTTGCGATAGTGAACCACATAATTTTTTTTCGGTTTAAATGTCGCCATGAGTTTCTGCACTTTTGAGCCTGGTGGTATACTGTTTTGCGGTAAAAATGGCAAGTCGTTGTGTTTATCGTGAAGTTCTTTTGGATAAGTTATGTCGACTTCATAGATCCGTCCTATAGGGGAAGTTGCGTTCAAATCAGCCAATCCGTTAAGAGACGGATTAACCCACTTGAAGCCCCCGTAGGGCATGTACTGCGACATTGCCCAACCGTAAAGATTATTGCCTAGGGTTTTAAAAGTATATAATTAGCTTTATAATGATAATAATAATATATAGATTAACTTACAATCCTGATAAACAAGCCAGGATTTTGGGTCTGCTGGGTTATAATCAGGTGTTCTCTCATTGTTAGGTTTTGCGTACCGCATGCTGGCCTGTGTAAGTCCTCCACGAATACCTATAAAAGTTTAATCGTATTATATATGTGATGAAATAAAAATAATTTCCAATATACTAACCATTTTCAATCATTAATAGCATTTCATAATCCGACAGTAATTCCAGTTTTATCGCAGTGTATTTCAACATTGCATCGAAAGAAAACGCTGGTGCTGTAAAATAATATGCTGGATCCAAATTGTATGTGTTCAAACATAAATCCCGGAAATTTTCGAATACATCCGCCAGAAGCAAGACGTCAATTTTCAAGTATAGATCTGAATACTCGCCCAACGTTCGACAATTGAAATGACTCCATACGTCTTCCGCAAACTGATATTCAGTATCTTTTATGTGTTCTTCTGTTAAGGTACTATAAAAGTCCTCTTTTTTGGGTAAAGTTGTTTGTTCAAGCTTAGCCCAATCATCAGTGAAGTCATAAGGATATACACCCTTACGGGTGACAAGCGGTAGATCATTATTGGAAAAATGTTTTGCGGTTATGCGGAATTTTTCCAAGTTTGGTGTTATCAGATTGGAGGCGAGAGTTGATAAGCTTGTAGCCATAAATCTAAATGTATCCACGAATCTGATCGTAAAATCGTTACTTATGTATTTCGAAAAAGTAACGAATTTCTCTTCGCTGTTTGGTATTACTTTTATTCTATGCGAATCGTAACCTAGTTCTGTTACTATAAAATGTGCATCGTAATTAGAAAGATTATGAAGGAAAACTGGTACGTATTTCGGTTGTTTAAGACTTAAATTACACCTATTGCATAAAGTCTGCCTAAACTTCAAGGTCAGGTGGTCATGATCTCGAATACGGGTGTAGTTATTAACATCGCATTTGCATAAATTGCATTTAAAACAAGATGCGTGTCTAGTCGTATCTTCATCAGTCATAATCAAGGGTACGTTCGTCGCTAACAATTTTTCAATTTTTTCACACACATCAACAACACTCTCCATGAAATGTTTTGCGACGTCTTGCTTGTCCTCACTACCACGGTAAATTACGGGTTCGGTTGGTATATTGAATTGTTTTAGCAGCTCTGATGGTACGTTTTCAGCCGCCTATAAATCCGTAACTCATCGGACGGTGTTTTTGTATTATTGTTGTATTACCCCCCTTTTCCTCATTGGTCTTTACAAGTAGAGCCTCGAAATCGGCATATATAACAATAGGTTGTCTTTGTGCGTTTTGCCATGCTTTAAATTCAAGAACTGCCCCCTCTTCAGGCATTTTTGGTAGTATGGGTTTATGCGGACCGCATATTAATCTGTGGTGTTCTAGAGCTGCCTGTCCGCTTAGTTTATGTTTTAAGTTCTGTCTGTCGAACGATGTAAAGCAACGTTTACAGAATATAACTTGACCTGCATGACTAGTTTTTTGTGAACGGAGTAATCTCGAAAAATTTGAGATGTAAGTATAATGTGTATTATCACCATCCGTCACTAATAATAAGTCAAAGTGATCCCGTTTTTCATCATCTACGACTTTGAGTGGGAAAACCTCATATGAAGGATACTTTTTCGGTGGCTGTAATCGCTTTTCAAGTCCGTAAACATTTACAGAAACGTTCTGATTATTTTTTTCAAACATGGTAATATCTGACAGCGGTGTCGGGAATGAAATTCCGTTCAAAATATATTTGTCCTCATGCTCCATATAATTTTCATTGACACGACATTTATTCTGTCCAGTAACGTGCTTTGCCAATACAGCCCATTTAAAGCACTGTTGGTCTATATTTTGAGGATTTATTATTGCCCTTTTATCTATGATGGATTTCGGTAATTCTATATACGACGAACCAGATATCGGTGCATACTTATAAATGGCTAGTAGCAAACCATCGATAGACTGTAACGTAAACCCGCTACCACGAGAAACATAGGCCTCTTCCTCAGCTAATAAATTTATGAAAGCTTCTTCGACTATTGTTTCGATTTGTGTGCCTATAAAAATTTCTTTGGCCGATGTTGTAAACAATCGATTTTCGGATGAATTGGGTACATTTGGATGGTTATACGTAGCCTCGAGCTTCAAGCTAAATTTTATTGGATGTCTCTGCACGTGAGTTTTTAGCTTGTCTGACAGAGCCGGTTCGAGAGAACGGAGAAAGTCGGGATAATTTCGAATATTATTCAGATTTTTCGAGAAATACCATACAATTTTACGTTTTCCTGACGATGAAATCTCAACCAGACCCGGGGATGTAACCAGTTCCATACGAGCCTTTTTCGCCTTAACAGCCGACACTATGTTGGCGCTGGAAACGCGTTTGCTACCCACCGAAGTCATATAAGAATCTACTTAAAATAAAATAAAATAAAATCTAGCGACGATAATGTATAAAAAAAAAAAAAAATCTTACCTGGCGCATCGAATAGCCCTGCATTTTGAGCATTTTCTAAAACTGCCACGCACATATCGTCATATTCATCGTTTGGCATATTCGATTGATGACGAAGCTCGTTTGAGGGGCCAGCGGGTATATCTGGTACTATAATATCCGGGGCGATCTCTATTTCACCTCGTTGCAGTGGTCGAGAGCGTACAATACCTTATAAAATAAATATTGAATTAAATATTAAAAATAAGAATCTACTTAAAATAAAATCTAACGACGAAAATGTATAAAAAATCTTACCTGACGCTTCGCATAGCCCTGCATTTTGAGCATTTTCTAAAACTGCCACGCACATATCATCATACCCATCGTTTGGTATATTCGACTGATGTTGAAGCTCGTATGAGGGACCAGCGGGTATAATACCTTATAAAATAAATATTGAATTAAATATTAAAATTAAAATTAAAATTAAAAATCAAAAAAAAAAATCTAACGTCTTTATGTAAATAACGGAGGGCCTTTTTAAAAATCTAATTAATTCTGATAAATAAAACTAACCTGTATCATCATCTTCTATTATGACGCATGAGTCAGGGGTCTCGCTATCGGGGGCAACAATACGAGGCGCGAACTGGATGACGCTCGGTCGTGCTGGCTGATCTATGATCGGAGCAGCTGGCAATGGTCTGAGGCGAGCTGAAACGATACCTTAGGGAAAATAAAAAATTAATATTGTATAAAATAAAACTTTATATTTTTAGTACATACCATGAATGTTCTTCAGATGCTTGTTGAGGTTGTTTTTGTACGAGAATGTCGATGGGCATGCAGTGCACGGAAAACGTACACCTGCATGCTTCTTTTGGTGGGCGACCAAATTACGTTTTGCGGAGAAAACTGACGGGCACTGATCACACTTATACATTTTTACGTAAAGTAATATCGAAATAAAACCACAAAGTGTAAATAATTTTTAAAACGCAGAGAAATAAACACTTGTAAAAATATTTTAAAGACTGAGAGAGTAAATATATAAGTGAACAACGGTTAAAGGTAGTACACGGACTAAACGGAAAATCAAGAGTCTCTTCTTACCATGGACACTAAGGGATTTTTAGGGGTGGTGGTAATGGTGGGGATCGTGTAGAAAAAAAGCAATATGGCGGGGGTGAACAGAGATTTTGACCATATATGGTGACTATAATCCTTTGAAATAGCCGCATCCACCATATAAATCGGTCACATTCAATAAATTACCAATGACAAAAAGAATAGCGGCACACACATATAACGGTAAAAGCAAAGAGAGTTACTTTCTTATATAAAAGGAAAGGTATATGCCGCCAAAGGACGGTGTATACCGCCAAAGGATGACCCATATAACGATAATCCTTTAAAAAAAAAAAACCCGAATATATAGAAATCGGTCAAATCCAATGACAAAAAGGGTATATGCCGCCAAAGGACGGTGTATACCGCCAAAGAATGACCCATATAACAATAATCCTTTAAAAAAAACCGCCTATATAGAAATCGGTCAAATCCAATGACAAAAAGGGTATATGCCGCCAAAGGACTAAAAATTCTTAGAAATTACCAACAAAGGTATATACTTATAACGGTAAATTATGGTGGTTGATGTTAACTATGTGCCGAAAGATATTATTATGATTACACTATGTTATAAATTTGTATACTATACATAATATTTTATATTTATCTAGTTAAATGAGTGAAAATAACGCTAAGACTATAAGTGGTCATGTGGCCTAGTGGGTTAAAGCGTCATCGATATAAGATGGGGGTCGAGGGTTCGAAACCCGATCAATTATTTTGTAGTTTTTTTTTCCCGTCATATAATTGTACACGTCTAGCGCGGATATAATATATATGATAAGTGATAACTGATAACGGTAATAATGATAAGTGACAACGGTAATAATGATAAGTGATAACGGTAATAATGATAAGTGATAACGGTAATAATGATAAGTGATAACGGTAATAATGATAAGTGATAACGGTAATAATGATAAGTGATAATATACATCTCGCGCACGTGCGCGACCGGGCGGCGGGATCAGCGAATCAGCAAGGAACAGCTGATCGTCAGGGATCAGCGGTTCAGCAGGTATCAGCGGATCAGCAGGTATCAGCGGATCAGCTCCATTGTGTGTTTGAATTGTCTATTTTATACTACTCATATAGGTATTTATATAGGTAATAGGTACATAGCCCATAGGTAATACATGTTACATATTTTATTGAACATAATTAACAAACAACTAAATTAAATAGGTACCTTACAATATGTCCTATAATATTATTTAAAAAATATAAAAATGTATTTATTTAGATATGTACCCTTGTAAAATAATTAAAAATTGAATACAATATGTCCTATAATATTATTTAAAAAATATAAAAGTGTAATTATTCAGATATAAAAGATCTCTTTCTTATATTTTGACCTATTTGCTTTAAAAAATTAGGAATATCTGCTGATTTGTCTTCATCAAAACGTTGACATAAAATGTTCAATCGAACTTCATTTTTTTTCAAGACTTTATTTTCAATGAATTTAAAATGTACATAATTATCTATATAAATACTTATCTACAATAATTTTTAATCCTAGAAAGGTACCTATTTAATTTAGTTGTTTGTTAATTATGTTCAATAAAATATGTAACATGTATTAGGTACCTATGGGCTATGTACCTATATAAATACCTATATGATAAAAGACTGAATTTAAATCAAATATTAATTTGGAGACTTTTTTTCCGTAGGACTTTCTTACCGGAGACTTTTTTACCGGGGACTTTTTTTCCGAGACTTTTTTTCCGGGGACTTTTTTTCCGTTTACCGTACTGTACAGTAGAGCGACACCCACTTCCCTACCTTTTTTTGCTTGTACAATGTACAGTTATGCTAATTTTTTTATTTATTTTTATTTTTTATATGAAATATACAATCTGTACCCTGAGGCACAATAAGAATATGGGCTAAATTACAATGACATGAGTGAAGTGTTTTGCTTCTTCTTGGACGGTTTTTATTAGGTACTCTAATTTAAATTTAAAAAAATCTTGAATATCAAATCGCTAATTTGATAGAAGAATTGTCTATAATTGAAAAAAAAAAATTGTTTAAATCGTACGCTTTCCAGCTATTTGGTGACGATTTTATGATAATATTATAATATTATGTAGTTCCATTTTGCGTAAACTTCGCTAGTAATAAGAATACGAATTATAACATCGAAAAATAAAATAATATTATTCATTGACAGAATTATTATTTTCGTATCGACCGTATATATTTTCTATGGTATCGACGTATTTGGCTATTTATAATCCGTGCGCGGCTGCGATAAATAACCAGTTTTGACCTATGGTGCGGTACAGCTGCATAATATGTACGCGGGGTAGTGGTAGAAGTACTATTTCAGAATGCTGCCGCTGTAGTCGTTCTAGCAGCACATGACGACGGGAAATTCGTATTTTTTTTGCCCAAAACATGGTTTTGTACTTCCAATAGTTCTCAGGCCTCGTTGATCGTAGAAACATGATTTTGGTATCAAAATAATCACGAGATGTTGTACTAAATATTCTTGGAACAGATTTTCGATATCTAATTTTGTCGATTTTATATAATTTTAAAAAAAAATGAAAATATAGTACAAACTTCAGATACAAATAAAATAGGTTAGAAAAAAAATTTTAAAATTCTGTTCCAAGAATATTTAGTACAACTTCTCGTGATTATTTTGATAACAAAACCATGTTTCTACGATTAACGAGGCCTGAGAACTATTGGAAGTACGAAAGCATGTTTTTCGGTCGATTTTTTTCTACTGTGACGGCCTCTTAATATGGGTTAGTAAACGAAATGTGATAAGTGGTATTCGAATGGTGCTTATCGTGGTGCTATAGATAGTAACTTAACTCAATGATCTAAAATCTAAATGGACGTTTGTTATTGTTGAAGCGGTTATACTAAAAATTTGATTAGTAGATATTATTAAGGCCAGTTTAAAATGTTATAAATATAATTTGTGAAAAAATAGAATTCATTTTTCAATGTAATTATATAAAAATATATTGTTAGACAAATCTAACACGTAATGGGCAATCGCGTGACGCGGACACGATGATTGCTTCAAGGTTGATCGTGGTCCGGTCGAAGTGTTTGATTAGGATTGAGGTGATGAAAAAAACACAACACAAACACTTTAAGAATGTCACAAATTATGTATTATAATATTGCGACCAAAATATAATAATACATGACGTGCCGCTCGGGCAGATGAGTTTAACGTCGGACGATATGTTATCGGTCCGATGGTGGATCTCGATTCTCGAATCGCCTTTTCCGCTGACCGTTGTACGTCTTACGCGACACAGTCCCCCCGTCCCGCCTTTCCGTTACCGACTCGGTGGGAGAGTCAACCCGGTCGCGCTGCTTGCATCCCGTGGTGGTGGTTGGAGATAAGATAGACTGGTCGCTATAGTGCTTGTAAATTATACTTGCTATTAACGCGGGCCGCGTCACGCGTATAATAAAACGCAATGTGCATGTGCGAGTTGAAAAAATACTTTTGTTTAATAATTCTTAATCGATATATTAAATATATTAAATATATTATATTATATATGATATAAATATATTATAATATATTATTTATATATACTGTTTTATATTATTGTACGGGCCGGAGTATATAATATTAATATACGAGTCCGGACACCAAACTCTTTTTTTACGCCACTAACACCTAGGTCTGAAAAATATGTTATGGAGGACTAGCTGGGTGTGTAGTGGTGTAATAGCTCGAACAGCAGTGGTCGGGATCGCCTAGCAATTACTGTCGGCTATGTAGTGCTTGTTGTGGATTATGTGTATTTGTGTATGTATGTGGGTATGTGTACAATAAAACAAATAATAATAAAATGGTAATACGGTTTCGGGTAATGAGTTACTGTTGCTGTATAATACACAATAATAATAATAATAATACAAATATATAAAAAATCACAGCAACACAGTAGGTATACAATTAAACAATTAATAAAAAAATGGTAACAGGGTTTCGAGTAATGAGTTACTGTTGCTGTATAAGACACAATATTAAATTCTAAGAATATTATAATGGGCTGCCCTTATGGCTGAACAAATATAAAAATAATATGCGGCCCTTTTGGCACGATAGTAAAATGATTATAAAATGTCTACGGCCCTTTTGGCCTAACAAATAATGTAATACATAAAATAAATAAATAATAATAAAAAAAAACTCACAATTCGTGGAGCGCAGACTGGCCAGCTGGTCCTGTGCTATAATAGTAAAAATTGTACAAGATGACAATGGTATATGAATTAAAACAAAGATAAAGTATTGCCCTTATGGCTCACAATAAAATTAATAAAAAAAGAATGTCTTCGGCGATCAGCACCGAAAGAGCAATAATGTAAACACAGACACACAGTGCTGAGAAGCGCAGTAAAATTACATCTAGTAATATTAGTGGCGATTCGAGCTCACAATTTTGGTTTAACACTTGTTCAATATTAAAAAGTACGAGTTGATAACATCGAAACAACGTACGGTACGAGACTAAATCACGGCGGCCCTGTTAAATAATATTCACGTAGACGGCGCGGCGGCGGGCGATAAGGTTTAATCTACATATTATATAACTCACTAGACACATTCAATACGATAATAAAACAATACAAATAAAGTGCTATGTGTGTGAGACTAGCTGTTCCTCCGTGACCAGTGACAATTAAAATATTAATATTATGTTGCGGCGGCAACAACTATATTATATTATATTATATATATATATAATACGTATATTATAACAGTGCTCTTAGTAAAAAAGGTCGGCAACAACGATACAGGGAACAGCACCGTGAAGAACTAAAACAACTTGAAGCAGAAAGAAGGAAAAGTAAACAAAATGTACCTTTCCAACCTACGACAAGATGTTCAGATTTTAATAGTACAGGACACGTTCCGCATAACGAAAATTCCAGTGAAAAGTAACATTTTATAACTATCTTCATTGCTCTGATAATAAACTGATTTTTATTCAACTTTTCGTTTCAATTTTCACAATTTCAGTGTAGACATGAAGAGTGCTCGTAAAAAAGAGAGTCAGCGAAAATATAGAGAACTATACAGAGAAGAACTTAAACAACGTGAAGCAGAAAGAAGAAAAAGTCAAAAAAACGTTCAGCAGAGAGAATATAATTTAAAGGAAGCAGAAAGAATGGAAAGTCAGCAATATGTACAGTCAATTGCAAGTAATTTAAATTCAGATAATGTACAACAAGGCAACATACAACATTTGGAAATAACACAAAATTATATTGTTGATGATATTACTGATCGGTATATATTTATTATTGTATAAACCTACAACAATATTTAAAAATGTTTTTTAAAATTATTATATTTGATCATGGTAAGATATCTCTATAATGTTATTTAATTATAATTCTCATAACATGTAGGCATGATACAGATGAAGCAAAAAGTAATCAAGCGCAATCCTCTCAACATTACAGTAACTTTCGATTGCATTCAATGCCTTATAAATATTTTCACGATAATTTCAAAAATAATAAGTTTGGCATCGCCTGTTCAATTTGCGATAGACTTTGGTTCGAGAAAGATTTGAAAAACCCATCACTTGCTCATGGAGATATCATAAACAGAATTACAGTAAATATTTCATTTTCATGATATTTTATTACTTATAAACTATAAACTATTGAAAATAATACTTGAATTATTCTTACAGAATGCAACAGATGTAACTACTTTGAAAATTTGTTCGACTGGCAAAGCATCTATGGATAAAAATAACATCCCTAATTATGCAGCATACAATGGATTTAAATATCCTGAAATGCCTCTACACTTACCAAAGCTCGATTTCGTTACTGAAAGATTACTCTCTCCTCGTATTCCTTTCATGTAAATAAGAAGACTAAGGCACGTTCACGGACAATTTGGAATATATGGACAAATTATCAACGTTCCAGTTAGTGTAGACACAATGATTCATGCAATTCCAAGAAATATTAATGATGAACAATAATTGAACATTGCATTTATGTACATATACAGAAGAAAATAATTCACAAAAGTAGTTTCGTTCATGGAATAATCAATATTAGCTCTTTCAAAATGTGGGTGCAGTATTTACTTGATACACCTTTATATAAACATTATCAGATTAAAATCGATACATCATTTTTCAATCAAAATATTCCAAATATTTCACAGAACAATATTGATTATTTTAGTGAAAATATTGATATTGAAGAAAGTCTAACTGCTCAACAACAAACATTATTGTGGAACGAAGAGAAATATTTGAGACTAGTACCGGGAGAACACAATATTCCGCAGAGTCTATTGTTCGATGAACATGCTGAAGAGTTGTCATTTCCAAGCATTTATCTAGGACAATTTAGACACTTTAAGGATGATGTAAGAGTCACTCCATTCATAATAGCTTCGAGCGAACTGCGACGTTCTGATCGCCGAGAAGTTACTCCATATCATTTGTTGTATATGGCTGTAAAAATAATGAGATTGCGCGTTCGTGACTGCTTGACTATTGCTTTCAAACATATTGGTACAGATACCAAAGTTACTAAAGAACAAATACAGTCTGAAGAATATATCAATAATTGCTTCGAGTCTAATTTGGCCTTTCTTCGATCCATACCGAATTCTCTTTGGTACTGGGCTGAAAGAAAACGCGACTTATTTGCAATGATAAGACAGTTAGGAAAGCCAACTGCGTTTATGACACTGAGTGCGAACGAAATAGGATGGCCAGATTTGTTTAAATTATTGTACACGTTAGCCAAAGGAAGACAACATACGGAAGAATTCATTTCGTCAGAATTAAGCTTTATTGAAAAAAGTTCATTGATCAACAATGACGCAGTTGAATGTGCCATTTATTTCAACAAATTAGTCAATGTTATTGTAGTAAGCCAGCTACTACGGAGTAATACCAATTTCATAAGTACATAGTTATTATTATAATATACGATGAATCGGGATTCAGAATTAGGCGTAGTAACATTTGACAG